AGGGTTAGGGTTAGGGTCAGGGTTAGGGTTAGGGTTAGGTTCAGGGTCAGGGTTAGTGTCAGGGTTAGGGTTAAGGTCAGGGTTAGGGTTAGGGTCAGGGTTAGTGTCAGGGTTAGGGTTAAGGTCAGGGTAAGGGTTAGGGTCAGGGTTAGGGTTATTGTTGGGGTCAGGGTTAGGGTTAAAGTCAGGGTTACGGTTACTTTTAGGGTTAGGGTTAGGGTTAGTACATTGTTTATCTTCTGATTTCGTATAGACAGTAAAGCTTCGTTTCCACCTCAGAAAGCTGCTAGTCACATGACCTAATCAAAACGTCCGACTTGGATGTGGGAGGAGCTGGTCATCCAGCCTAGGCCCGTTTCCTAACCCCTCCCCCCCCCTTCTCTCCGGCAGCCATTTTGTGACGGGGCCCACCGGTCTCAGGCCCCCGGTTTGTCTCCTCTACGCTTCGTCCCGGAGCGGGACGCCACTCTGTGGCTGTGCGGCTGCAAACGCACCCGCACCCCCCCCCACTGCGACGGCTCGCACAAGCTGGACCTCGTGGTGTCGGCCGCCCTGCACCGGCCGGCCGAGGACGCCTGAGCCGTCGTCACGGCAACGGCGAAAGAAATACGACATAAAATGATCTGTGTGTGTGACTATTTGTAAATGTTTTTATGGTCAAAAATTGCATATTTCCTGTTCAAATACGAGGCTGAAACTCTAATCTAGTCACAAACCGGGTGGTTCATGCACTCGGCGCCCGTCGGCGTATCGCTGCATGTTGCCAATTTAATGTTAGCATCTCCGTTTCTATTGGGGACGTCCTGATCCCGGCCTATCAGAACATGTCCTAAAGTCTAAAGTTATTTATCTACTTACTTAGTTGTCAGACTCATGTTGAACAGGGATTTACTCTGATAACAACTTAATGGTTAGGACACAGACCTGTGGGTTACAGATGCTAATGCTAATGCTAAAATATTGGATCGGGACCAGCCTGGCTTGAGCCCACATGACAGAATAGTACCAATCGGGTTAGCTACCATTGGTCATCTGGCTAATACCAGATTCCCACGTATTTCAAACAAGACATTTTGGAAACATTTCTGGAATGTGTTGAAGGCCTTAAAAGTAAAAATATGGATCCGATCCCGGCCTATCAGAGCCTGTGTTAAAGTCTAAAGTTATTTATCTACTTACTTAGTTGTCAGACTCATGTTGAACAGGGATTTACTCTGATAAC